TTGCTCCCGGTGCCCCTGGTCTGCTGGGGACTGTCTCCAGCAGACCAGGGACACCGGGAGCAAAGCCGGGGAGGCGGAGGGGCGCTGCCGGTTGGCCTCTTAAGGGGGGGTAGTCTTATACGGCGAGTATAAGATGAAAACCTATCTTTTAACTAGAAAATTAGGGGGTCGACTTATACGCCCAGTCGCCTTATACGCCGGAAAATACGGTAGTTCTAATTTACCCCTAAATGTCTATTAAGAGCCTGGCAAGCAGTGGAAGCATTGGTAATGCTGTTAGACAATACTGACCTCCCGTGGTTCGGCATCAGTCAGATTCCCAAGATGCCAGGCTAGAGATGTTCAACCTGTACAAAGTTATGAATGTACCATGACTCTATTAAATCTAAAATGAGAATGCCAGTTGCATTTAATCCTATGACAGAAAAAGACTGCTTCACCTTAAAATTAGCAACAGTTGAGAGCTCGTTTGAGGAACTAAAAATAAGCAGTAAATATCTTCCATGTATAAAAGCAGGTGTTAGATTTATGATTCTTAAGTTATTATGGAAGAGCAACCCTATACACTGAAGGCTCAACTCATGTGAACTCAAGTGACAATACAGTAAAGAGGAAAATTCTAAACTTAGCAAAACTCGAAAAAGGAGGTAGAAGAAGAAATAAAAGGCTTCTGCATTTAAGTGCTAACAAAGGTTATAATTAAAAAAAATTATACAATTAGAAATATGAGACATCAGCCAGACTGATGTGTAGACAGTTAAGATTTCAAACCAAAATTAGTTATCACAGTAAAGGCATGATAAACTGTGGATGGTGGAACCCTCTGAAAAGATCATATCAGAATATGGACATGCAAAAGTCATAGTTCAGTGATCTCAAATACTCACACATAGGGGTTTTTTTTTATTTACATGATTTAATTTAACAGGATACCTTTAAAGTAGTTAATGATATAATTGTTTTAAAAAAACCCTGTACATACCTATCAAATACTAAAAAGCCTTGCTGTAGGGAGGGAAGTGGAATCACACCACAAGACTGAAAGATTCTCCACTTATTGCTGGGGAACAAGACAGTACATAACATTTGTACTTTCCCCTTTTGAAATTTTTCCCAAAATGAACTTTTTGCCTGAGCATTTAAAATTAAAAAATTAAAAAAAGAGTAGCATTCTTGGATGTTAGATTTTATGTAAACCTGCTTTTAGCATTTTCAGATAATTTCACTACTAAATTCAGCTTTAAATTCAGAACAGCAGTGCCTGAAAACAGCACTATACTCTGTCAAACCTTGAAAACAAGTATAAATTATGTAAAATTCTTGCCACTGTTGCAGTTCATTACATCAGTAGAAACTAGGGATGTTAGGTACTGTATAATTGAATAATTGCGTAACATCCATGGTCCAGGATGATTTTAGTTACCCCAATGTTCACTTATTATGGCTATGGCTAAATTTCCCACAGTCCCATAAAGTTTGTTTCCTGCTACCAGTTAAAAATTAAAAAAAGAGTAGCATTCTTGGATGTTAGATTTTATGTAAACCTGCTTTTAGCATTTTCAGATAATTTCACTACTAAATTCAGCTTTAAATTCAGAACAGCAGTGCCTGAAAACAGCACTATACTCTGTCAAACCTTGAAAACAAGTATAAATTATGTAAAATTCTTGCCACTGTTGCAGTTCATTACATCAGTAGAAACTAGGGATGTTAGGTACTGTATAATTGAATAATTGCGTAACTGCATCACATTTTAGTGGTTACACAACTATTCAATAGCCCCCGCGGGCGGGGCCGGCAGCCAGCGTGCTCCTGGCCCCACTTCTAGGGAGCCCTCTGCCACCTCACACTGCTGTCTCTGTATCAGAGGCAGCAGCATAGGGGTCAGGGGGTGTCATGTTACTGAATTTGAGGAAAGCAGCCAGATCACTGCTGCACCCATAGGTGGGGGTGTTGGCCCCAGAAATGGTATAAAAGGGGGCCATGTGGGGTGTTGAATAGAAGCTTACTGTCTGCTGATCCTGTGTACGCTATTCATGTGATTGTATAATGTCTGTGTGTGTAGTTAGGAATCTGTAATCTGTGTGGATACTGAATATTTCTCTGAATGTGATTGAGCATTGGGCAGAGCCCAGCCTATGGACATGCTAATTAGCGAGGCCCTGTGGGACAATGACACTCAATGGGCCAAGGACACACTTAAAGCATGAGGGCTGACACCTGAGAGCTGCCAGCAGGGAACACAGGGATAGGCCTCTGGCCAGGGAGGGATAAATAGGCCATGTGGCGGACTCCATCTTGGTCTTCAGCTCAGCACTTCATCCCAGAGGCAGCAATGCAGGGATCGAAGAGCCAGAAAGACCTGTGGACCCATTCTGATCCTAGGATGTGCAACAAGGACTTTTAAACCAGCAGCTGTAACATCTCTGCTAGAGCCTGCATCAAGAACTGGGAGATTCGATGCATGTAATGTACTATTCTTTAACAACCTTACTCTCATGCTTTTCTTTATTGTAGTAATAAACCTTTAGTTGCTAGATGCTAAAGGATTGGCTCAGCGTGATTTCTGGGTAAGGTCCAGAGGGTAAATTGACCAGGGATCTGTGGCTGGTTTCTTGGAACCGGCCAGAACTTGTTCGGGGTAGGTGGGATTGGGTTCCAAGACCCCCCACCGGTTTATGAGGCCCGGGGCCATCTGGGGCACAGATATTGCTGGAGTGTCAGAAGGGTTTTGCTCGTGAGGCTTCAGGCAGACTGCTGAAGCGCTCTGTGGGACTGCTTTGTGGCCTGTTTGGAGAGGTCACCAGTCTGGGGGCTGTAAGGAGCCCCGGATTTGAGCAATTCGCCCTGAGCGGACGCCCTCAGCTGTGCCCAGACCGGCCCAGTCAGTCACAGGGGGGCAGGCGGGAGCTGGTTCATGAGAGCAGCTGGTTTAAAAAGGTAGCAGTGAGGGGCAGCAGCAGCTTCTGTCTACAGAGGCAGCAAGGGGAATGCATGTAGTTGACAGGTAACCCAGGCTTTTTGGTTAATTGTGTAGCTGACTACACTATGACAACCCTAGTGGAAACCAGTTAAAATCCCTTATAATCACTGTTATTCATTCATTAAAGATTTTATAATAGTTGAGCACAGCTTATCAACTGACAAATTCCTAGGCAGTATAAAAGGGACAAATAATTTCACGTTTCATGCTTCCTAAACAGTTCACCAGCTGTACTCTTTCAATATTTCCTACTTACGAGTATCAAAGCACTTTCCTTTTATGTTATTTTACCAATATGACTTTTTACTCCAAAGTTTTTATGACTAAAACAGCATATCTTGTAATCGTACATAAAATAGTACAATAGAACAACAGTAAATATTTCAATAGGATCCTAATGATTTTTTTAAGTTTAGTAGTTTTTTTAAACTTAAGCCAAAATTTTCATATCAGGGTGCCAGAAATTAAGATGATACCTAAGAGCACTCTAACTTTTGTGAGAGAGAGTTCAGTTTTAGCAGTCAAAACTAAAATTACTGAATTTGAAAATCTTGGGCTTGATATTTTAGTCATATGAAGAAAAAAAGTTAACTCTGTACTCTTCGCTCAAAGACAGAGTCTGAGGAGCTGTCATTCCAAATATAATAGATATTGTGTAAAAGCTAATTTTTTTCTTACATGTTCTTCCCATGCTTTCTTCTCTCTTTCATATGCCTCTCTTCTCTTTCGCTCTAGTTGCTCTTTGAGAACTGCAGCTCGTGCGTTTGCTTGGGCCTACACATAAGAAAAAAAATAGGCTTCAATCCAATGCAGCAGTTCTTCAACTTCTTCATTCTGTAGACTGCTTCAAATGAAACACCATAGATGCTCAGTTCAATTCTCAATATATGCCACTTGTCATATTTGACATGCAAACTACTAAGTACGACACATGAAATTCATACAAAAGTTCCACAAACAAGTTGGTGAACTAAATAAGTAAACCCTAAGTCTTTTTTAAAAAACCATCCTGTTTCAAACATATTTTAAAAGGAGAGAATTTCAAAATGTACTTGTACACTTTTTATGCAAACAAAATGGAAACTAAAACCTTGAACTAAAGGAGCTCAAAGATGAAATTTTCAGTACAGAAATCCAAGATGATCGTTTACTCAGAAAACCTTACTTATGTGAAAACAAGCATTAAATAAAACAATTTTCATTTATGTATATAATACATATACAGCAAAGACCAAAATAAGTTGCTTTAATCTTAACAAAACAGTCACATTTGTTTTCACATTGCACATTTTCCCAATAACTTTAAAGGACATACACTTATTGTTAGAAGAAATTATGGAGCAGAATTCAGACCAAAAGCTCTTAGCTTTGTATACGCCCTGTAGTTTGCTAAAGAAATGCAATTTTGAAATTAAGCTCTGAAGCCTTAGTCACAACTATGTGTGTGACAGGCCTGAAGACAAAGCACGTAAGAGCATCTGCAAAGTCTTTCCATGCCTGTGTTCAATTAACTCAACCCCCACTCAAAAAAGCCCACCTCACTAGGCAGATTACTCATGGTGCACTGAGTCTTCATCATTTCCCTCATCACATTTCCCATCATGCCCACACCAAACTGAATAATAGTAAGAATAGTTTCACTAAAAACGTAGCTTGCTTTTTTTTAAATATATGTCAAACTGTGACTAAAAAATAAGCTTAAGAATGGAATTTATGTTAATTAATAGTTTTGCTACTGCAATGAGGTAAAATTCAAAGTACAGTAAAACTCCGATGGTCCGGCATCTGATGGTCCGGCACTCCTGATGGTCCGGCACCATCAGGAACCCGGAAGAGCTCCAGGCAGCCAGACCATTGGAGCTGCTCTGCCCCCAGCTTCCCCGATTCAGCCGCTGCTGAAACTGACCAGCGGCTGAA